GAGCAATTCCTTTCTCAATCTTACAGCCCCCTGTAAGCTCAGTCCACCCACTTTTAAAGTTTCAGTTGCCTGCTTGAATGAGTCTGGCAGCAAGTGGTAGTTTCATCCTATGGATGCTTCCCCACCCAACATTTCTCCGATGAAAATAGGGACATCCTATTCCATTATTATTATTATTATTATTATTATTATTATTATTATTATTATTATTATTGCCCTACCCATTGGACTGGGTTGCCCCAGCCACTCTGGGTGGCTTCCAATATATATAAAAACATAATAAAACATTAAACATTTTTTATTTTAAAAAAAACCCTATACAGGGCTGCCTTCGGATGACTTCTATAGTTTGTGTAGTTAATTATCTCCTTGGCTCTGGGGTCGCATAACTCCATACCCTCCAAAATTTCTCTGGTGAAAATAGGGATGTCCTAAGGGAAAGCAGGACATTGTGGGATCAAATCAGAAACTGGGATGGCTTCTGTAAATCTGGGACTGTCCCTGGAAAATAGGGACACTTGGAGGGTCTGAGTTAAGCTCCCCTGTACATTCAGAAGCATACAGTCCCAGGCCAGCAGGCAAGTGTATATACATTGGGATTATCCCCTTTTTCTAAAGGGGAGCAAGAGATTTTTGTCTCCTGATTCTCCCACCTCAGTAAAACAACCACACCTGGCCATCACGAAGCTAAATGCTCATTGCGAATAACTGTCAGACTATGCATCTGTGTCAAATGGTTTAAAGAACCCTGCCTGGCTTGATACAAGTTTCCCGATCGCTCTCTTGTGGGTGATTACTTTGATTAAACACCTTTCCCTTCATTTTTATTGCTTTTTAATGTTGATTTTGCAAAACATTTTTTAATTATACAGAGGGCGAACTTTTCCTTGGGTACCCAAAACTCGGGTGGAAACATCTGCAGAGGTGGATAATATGGCATGAACTCTCGTGTGATCTCCCTGGCTGGCTATTTCCTTCCATAGTTAGGGGATTGTAAACACCTATCTTTTGATATTAAATCCTTATTTGCATTTAACCATTCACTGAACCTTTCTCTTGCCATGCAGCCACATTAAAAGAACAACACCAAAAAAAGCTTCAGGATTAAGGCATTTGGGGGAGAGATAAGCCTATGATTCACTTTAGTTGGAGTGTGCCCAAAAATGCCACCATTTTTTACATGATATGCAAACATAAAGTCAATGGGCATGATTCTAGGCTGCAATTGCATAAAAGGTAAAGGGACCCCCTGACCATTAGGTCCAGTTGTGACTGACTCTGGGGTTGTGGCGCTCATCTCGCTTTACTGGCTGAGGGAGCCAGCGTACAGCTTCCAGGTCATGTGGCCAGCATGACTCAGCCGCTTCTGGCGCAACCAGAGCAGCGCACGGAAACGCTGTTTACCTTTCCGCCGGAGCGGTACCTATTTATCTACTTGCACTTTAACATGCTTTTGAACTGCTAGGTTGGCCGGAGCTGGGACCGAGCAACGGGAGCTCACCCTGTCATGGGGATTCGAACCGCCGACCTTCTGATCGGCAAGCCCAACGCTCTGTGGTTTAACCCACTTTTTCCAGGATCACTGCTTTGGTGTCCTCCAAAAAAACTCTTTGCCTTTCAAAGTCATTGGGCTTTAAAGAGACATTCTCTTCTACTTCCTTAAAAAAAGAAAAAGAAACTAATTATCTCCCTTCTCCAGAGTACCTGTTTCCACACACCCCTTCAACTATAGTCCTCCCCTTCCTTTCAGTGATTGCACTGCACTCATTTCCACCGACTGTTCAAGGAGCTTTCGTAAATGAGGTTAATAACCTCCTTGCCCCTCATGTGATTTTTGAGACTTGGGAATCTTAATTTTTCTTTAAATGCAGCATGTAATGTGCTGGGAAAGTGTTTCAAATTCAAATGACAATCTCCCTATAAACGTTCACATATATCCTCAGGGGTGCTATTTCATTATTTCATGTTTAGGGAAGGCCAAGGCTATTCTCGTAAATGGACAAAATACACAATAAATGCCTATTATTTGGCTACATTTAAGGGATGAGCAGTGTAATGCTGCGTGCGTCTACTCAGAAGTAAGACCCATTGACTGACTCCCAGGTAAGTGTGAATAGGATTGTTGCCCTCTAAACCCCATTGGCTTATTTTAATATTCTTTTAATATTAATAATATTAATATTATAATATTCTGTAGACTAGTTTGTTTCTTATTGTATTTTATCTCTATGAATTTCAATAAAAATTATAAAACCCCATTCACTTCAATGACGCTCACTTTTCAATAGACATGCATTTAATAATAATAATAATAATAATAATAATAATAATAATAATAATAATAATAATAATAATTTATTATTTATACCCCACCCATCTGGCTGGGTTTCCCAAGCCACTCTGGGTGGCTCGCAACAGAATATTAAAAATACAACAAAAAATTGAACATTAAAAACTTCCCTAAACAGGGCTGCCTTCAGATGTCTTCTAAAATTCAGATAGTTGTTAATTTCCTTGACATCTGATGGGAGGGCATTCCACAGGGTGGGCGCCACTACCAAGAAGGCCCTTTGCCTGGTTCCCTGTAACCTCACTTCTGGGAACTGCCAGAAGGCCCTTGGTGCCTTCAGCTGAACGATGGGGGTGAATACGCTCCTTCAGGTATAAATTGTGAGATAAACAGCGAAGAAGCAGATTCTCAATGAATTACTGAAATACACAAATGCCAGAGGGGTGTGTGGACCCATTACCTTCTCTGCTACTCCCTTTACATACTGTTTTAGAAGATTTTGAAAGGGATGGGAGTTAGCGGGTGTGACTTGTGGATTTGTGCACCAGAATCAGGGATAAACATTCTTATTTCATAATAAGCAGTCAAGGCTATGCCAAACCTATTGGAAGGTTATCCCACATAAGGCAGCGATAGCTTCTATAGGACACCTAGAAACAAAATACAGTTGTACCTTGGTTCTCGAACACCTTGGTACTTGTACATTTTGATTCCCCAACACTGAAAACCTGGAAGCAAGTGTTCCTGTTTTCAAACGTTCTTTGGAAGCCGAACATCCAACCCGGCTTCCGCTTGAGTGCAGGAAGCTCCTGCAGCCAATCAGAAGCCACACCTTGGTTTCTGAACGGTTCCAGGAGTCGAACGGACTCCTGGAACAGATTACGGTCGACAACCAAGATACAGTCATGCCTTGGGTTAAAGACGCTTCAGGTTAAATCTTTTCAGGTTGCATCCTGCGGCAACCCGGAAGTACTGGACAGGGTTACTTCCGGGTTTTGCCGCTCGCGCATGCACAGGCTCTCAAAATGACATCACGCGCATGCGCAGAAGCAGCAAATCATGACCCGCACACCTGCAGATGCACAGACACGGGTTGCGTTCTGCTCATGTTGTGAACGGGGCTCCGGAACAGATCCCATTCACAACCAGAGGTACCACTGTTTGACCCAAAGAACTCAAAATATCACCAAAACAATTCCTTTTGAAGTCTAGGGGGTATGTGACTCATTGATATAAATATAAGAGTCCAGATTGCGGGGTGTCAGGGAACTGCCATTGGCTCAGGGGTCAGAGGGGGAAAGCCGGATGGATTACAGAGAGGCCCCAAAGATTGTGGGGAGCAGCCCCTCCTCACCGGAGGAGAGTAACCACACCTCCAGCGGAGAAGAGCTGCAGGGCTCGGGGGAGGCGAGGCAGTGCCAGGACACCTTGCCTGAGCAAAGTGGGGAGGAGAGAGGTCCTCCGTTACCCATGCCCTCCTTGCACAGTAGGCTTCCACGCAGAGAGGGGAAGCGCAGACTGGGCATCAAGAAACTACTCTGCTGGGGAAGGTTTAAGGACTGCCCACTCTCAGATTCTGCCAGTGAATGAGCGAGCCACGGAATAGTGGTGCTCTGCATGGTGAAGGTTTCTTTGGCACCAATAACAAGGCTTTACAGCTGACCAGGAAGGGGAATGCAATGGATGGCTGCTGTTATGTCCCACTGCGACATTAGAAATTATTACAAGATTCGGAAGGGTGATGGTGATTTGTATACTGAAACAGAACATCCATTTCCCACTCTGCTGCTCACTTGCTCCCTCCTGGGTCCTTCGAGATCCCCATAAGCATACTGATCTGCCGGTCAGCCCCAGGGTAACTTTTAGGCAGTGCCTACCTCTACATCGCTTTATGGTCCCGGTCCAGAAATGTTGCCATTTTTCATCTTTATGTTCATCTTTATTTTTCATCTGACACTTGGAGCCTTTTTCTAAAATGCAGTTGCCTTTGACCATTAGACTGTAGCCTGGATAATAGAACGACTTGAAAGTTAATCGCAGTCCTGCTGTAGCATTGCTTAGGAGTCCTGAATAACCTTGATCCTGTCTTGAATTCTTCATGGGAGAAGGGAAGTGAAGAGAGTTTGGAAAATGTCAGAGTATTCTCAACACATTTCACCAAGGTGGCCTTCAGGAGCATCTTAATTCTACGTTTTCTACCCATGATATGTGGCAGTATAGGAAGGAGCTTCTGCAAGTGTCTCCACCCCCATTGTTCTGCCTGGACACTGAGGTCCAGCTCCGAGGGCCTTCTGGTGGTTCCCTCCCTGTGAGAAGTGAGATTACAGGGAACCAGGCAGAGGGCCTTCTTGGTGGTGGCACCCACTCTGTAGAACGTCCAGGAAATAAACAACTATCTGACTTTTAGAAGGCATCTGAAGGCAGCCCTGTTTAGGGAAGTTTTTAATGTATGATGTTTTATTCTGTTTTTAATCTGTTGGGAGCCACCCAGAGTGGCTGGGGAAACCCAGCTGGATGGGCAAGGTATAAATAATAAATTATTATTATTATTATATTATTATTACTAGGAAGTGCTCATTCCACTGTCAACAGGCAGGACAGCCACACTTGCCCCAGTGCAGTGGCAGCGGGGAAAAGAAAGAAAAGAAATACTTTAGTCTGTTTTCTCCATACTCAAGGTTATACCCTAAAACAATACATTTCATTCCAGGCTTTGAGTTCTGGCCAAATTCACTACACTTCCAGCCTGATATTAAATTCAAGCAAACGTCATGATCTTCTTAAAAGTGTGAAGGAGGAATTTCTGCTTCCATCATCCATAAGATACACACAGTGGGAGACTGAAAGGATTCCCTCGGCACTTCATAAAGGAACTCAACATGAATATGGAAGGAAGCCAGGTTTCTGAAACCCCTGCTTTCTTCTTAATCCTTTAAAAAGCTTTATAGTATTTTTTTATTATAATAACAACAGAAAACTATACTGAATAATAACTTAATTATCACCTAGTTTTATGTTTGCAATGTGACTAAATGTCTAAAGACTACCATGCTGTTCCCAGAATTGTTCAGGGCCCTGTTGTTTTGTTAATATTTATGTAACACCCTTTAAAAAGTGAGGCCTTTAATTCTGGCAAGTGGTGAATACAGGATATAAAATTTATCCCCTCAAGGTGTCAACCAGTCTACTTTATTAGCTTCTTTTTTAAAAAAATGTTGACTTAAAAATTGGAATGGGGGGGGAATGCTATTAGAAGGAATCAAATTTATGAATCCAATTTATTCAGATGTGCGACACGGAAAAGCATATAAATGACATTTATTGCTTAGGTAATTACTCATTTTTATTGAATGGCAGCATAATTACTTGAACAAAGTCGTATGTTCAGTAATGTATGCACCAAATGTTACAGCTGCCCTTGGCTACAGTAACTTTACTCTCCCCCCCCCTCCTTTCACGGATTTCTGCATAGTATACTCAGCCCTCGTTAAAGGATTCTCTGTTAAAACCAATTGTAATGGCAGTTAGACTTCAACGGCTGTTCTTTGAACAACTTCATGCTCCACGACACCCAACCACAATTATTTCCAACCAGCGTTGTATTCAATTTCATTAGCCTGGTTAGGAAGGGCAACATTCAGCTAAGGAATCCGCTGGCTGAGAAACAAAATTCTAATTATGTTGAAAAGCACATCTCGTCTTGTTTAGTTTTCCACAAAAGAATAGTATACCATTAAAAAAAGAAAGAAAATCCAAAAGAATTCAGAAAGGCACTTTTTAATTGGAAAGGGAATATTTTGGCCACCTAACAAGCCCAGTTTCTGAATCAGTCTTCTTAAACCAGGACATCCCTGTCTGGAATTTCAAATTTACAGTCTGGGCTTGTGTTGAAGGGTTTTCTCCCTAAAGCAGAGGCTCTGGCTTAATTTAGGGTTGTCATACATCTGGAATTTTCTGGACATAACTAGTAAACCACTGAAATGTCCAGGAAAATCTGGATGCATGGCAGCCATGTTGGTAGTGTAGATTTTGGCGATTTCCATTAAAAATAACTTTAAAACTCATTTTTTTTGGTTGAGATTTCATCAAGAAAGCTCAACAACCTTTTTGTCTGGATTATCAGTTTTGGAAATATGGCAAACCTAGCTTAATTTGAACTAGAAGAGGGCTTAGTTTGTGTAGGATACAAATCTTGACCTTTGGAAACGTGGGCGGTATGCATCTAAGTTTCAAACAGACTAGACCTGTTGAAATTAATGTACATAATGTAACCATGTGCATTCATTTCAATGGGTCTGTTCTTTGTAAAACTTAGTTGAATGCCACCACTTTTTCAGAATGAGGATGTAAGGGGTTTTTTTCCGTTCTTGTCTGCATTTGTCACACGCAGATCTTTTTCTGTTCCTCTACATTTCATCTCCTGCCAATAACTGCATTATTCATCTCCCTGCCCACTGTGGTGAAATGATATAGCCATTCCATTATTCCACCTCATTCTTAATTGGGTGGGAGACGGGATGCAATCAATTACATATCACTTGCCTACTAAAAGCAACAACAATACTGATTGTATTCACTGAATGGATTTCCATTCCGGACATAGAATGTATACGTGAACATCCCTAGTTCATTTTCATCCCTCATTCAAACATTAAAATTTGGGCAGGAGAAGCTCACCAGATGGGGCAGACCCACTGATATAAGAATTAGAGACCCAGGGTGTAGATTTTATTTTTAAAATGTTCCAATATAATAATATATATATATATATATATATATATATATATATATATATATATGCAGGTTTTGGTGTCCTCGGGTGTCTTCCCGTGTAAAAGTTGGGGTGTCTAGGCGACGTTTCGACGAGGTCTCACTCGTCATCTTCAGGCTGGTGCTTTCGGCTTCTTGTTACTGGAACAGAGCAGGATCTCAGTGTTTGAGTTCCTATAAATACTGTTGAGGGGATGTGGTGTATAGCCTCCAATGTTCTGGGCAGAGAGGAAGTTCCCAGGCTAGTGTGCCTTTTCTTCTTTTGTTCCTTAATTACTTGAGGGATATCTTGAGTGATTTCTTGAGTGATATTCTGAGTACCACTTAGGTGGGTCATTAGGTGTGGATAAGTTGCTCAAGCCTTCGTGTCTTGACCTCTTGAACTTTGTGAAGAGTTTTTCTGAGAAGATGGCTGTACTGCACTTAGTTGTGCTCTGGCTTGGCTTCGGGTATAGGGGCGAGCTGTGGTTTTGTGCCCTGTGCCAGCCAGATCTGTGTAGGGATTTATTTATTTATATATATCCCACCCTCCCCAGCCAGAACCGGGCTCAGGGCAGCTAACATCAGAATATATAATACATTAAGACATAAAATTCAACAATCGACTAAAATACAGTTTAAAATCAGATTAACATCGAAATAAAATCAGATGGCTGCCCGCAAATTATAACTATAGGGGCTTGGAACCTTAAATACTCACCAGGCTCAACTATTTATATGGGCCAATGAGAGGAGTTAGAGAGGCCACATATGCAGGGTCTTGTAAGAGGAGAGGGGTCAGACTGAGCCCCGACCAAAGGCCTGGCGGATATTACTGTAGCACCCTGCTTGTGGTTAACGCTTAGCTGGAATGAAATATTCAACGCAGCAACAGAGAAATTAAATAATAATTTATTTGTCAGACAAATAAATGAGAGGCACAGTGGTATATGATTACCAAGCTCTGGCCTGCCCTCCTGCCATTATGGCCAGCACTTATATTCCCTTAATCCAGCCCCCTTTGCTCCTCCTTGGGCTGCCTCTGTCCAATCAGCCTGGTTGGATTTCCTATTGGCTGATTGCTAGAACCAATCACAAAAAGATACACCCATATCCTCCTGTCCTTATAAGGGAGACAAAGAGCTATATATAAATGACAAATAAGTAATAATATATCTTACATGGAATCTTAATTACCAGCTCACCTCTTGCCCTCCTTGCCCTATTGCCTTCTAAAACAAATGGTTAATCTTAAATTTTTATCTTAAACATATGTCAAGGATCTTGAGTTTCACATCAAACATTGAAAGATCTCCTTCATTTGAAGGTTTCTAAACAAATGTCTGGCAGCTATATATCAAGACTGCTTGAATGGCGTCTTTTTGTCTGGCAAGAGGGCTGGGCTGGTGGCTGACTTAATTCCAGGATAAATACAACTCTTCTAGCATTTGTTAAATCCTTTGCATAATTACATTTAAGACAATATATTTAATACACAACACAGGTAGCCTCTTAAAAGGAATAAGGTCTTTGTAAAGTAGAAAAGGGAACTCAGTAAAAAAAGCAGTTTCAAAAGAAGCCTCTTCAGTTTTACATCCCCCCCCCCTTCAGCCAGCTGCTTTGTTTCCATTAGCTCTTCCTCAAACTCTCTCAGTTTAAGAAAGAAAACAGCTTTAAAAAGACTTCCCAAAAAGCCTCTCTTTCTGCCAGCCAGATGCTTCTCCATTTGGTCTTGGCCTTTTAACCTTAGAAAGAAGATCTGGCTCATTTTACTGGGAGGCACATTGGCATTATTTTACTATTTACCAACTATTAATTATGTTTATCTCTGCCTTTTTTATCTTCTATAACATGTAGGGTCAGTGTCCTTACTCAGTCTGTAATTTCAGCTTTTATGACTTTGAGAATTGTTTTCTGCTATCAATCAAGGGGCCCCTTGTCTAGGAAGAAAACACTGTCAGTGTTTTCTTAAGCAGCTAGCCTTCTTGCCTGGCATGAAACTTTTAAAAATCTAAGCCCTCTTTAATATACAAGCCCTGATCAAACATTAATAAAATGCAGGCTTATGCCTGATGCCTCATTCCCCCCTTTCAAGCTCAAGGACCTTCGTCCCAAGTGTCCTTGATAGCTTGACCTTCATCATATTCCTGAGGTAAAGCTCTGTATAGGGCCATGATATGAGGTAGAGTTTCATTTGAAACCATCTTGCTAATTGTACTTCTAAAACATGAAATGATACATGGCATCATACATAAAACCATTATCACTACCGTCAAGAAAAACAAGCAAGACAATAGTATCCCTTTGAGTCCTGTGACGTTAGGTAACCAATTGGTGAGCCATCCCATATCCCATCCTTCCCATGTTTGTACTGGGACATGTGCTATATTCTCCATCTTTGTGGCCAACACACGGATTGCCTCACCATTATCAGAAATGTTAAAGCAACAGGCATTCCCTGTCAAGTTCAAGACTCCACATAGGCCTCCCTGCCTGGCAAGTCATCCAACTGTCGTGCAATAAGTCTCAAACTCTGGGCCGTTGCATTGGTTACAAGTTCCACTACTGCTTGTAATCGAATTATTCTGTTTAGATTATAAATAGGATCCCGTGCCCCTTGTATGAGCTCACCAGGATTCCAGGAGGCAGGATCATAATAGGCTATTATGCGCTCTGGCGGCCAATCATCAGTACCGCTCCAACTTTGGGTACTCCCTCCTGCTATACGAGAAATATCAGCATTTCTTCGTGTTCGCTTGGCTGAACTAGTGGGCAAATCCACATTGGTGGTAATACCCATCCCAGGAAACAAGTCCCACTCCATTTGGAGGGGAGTTTCTTGTATGCCCATTCTCCACATATCCACCACAACCATCGGGTCTGAGGTTTTTGGTACGTGGAGTACAGAAGGCGAAATATCAGAAGAGGTAGAGAGTTCACAGTGCAGTATGTTAGATTGCCTTTTTCTGTCACAGTTATGTTCCATACCACTTTCCATGCATGAATAAAAGGAGGTGCACAGGGCAAGGCATTCCGAGTTCGATAGGTAGTATCGTGTGCCCAGGTATTCTTAATATTATCCCAAGTATAGTGACAATGAGAAGAGCCTATCATGGTAGAATCAGCTGCATCTGATGATTTATGTACACAGAATTCCCCTTGTACAGGTATAACTCGTAATGGTTTAGTTGAGTTCCATCCGTGGAAATTCTGTAATTCTGTTTGGTGTGGCATTTCGCTTACCATACCAATGGCATCTAATGGTATCGGTAATAAGGGCATACCTCCCTCTGAATCATCTGGCCCAAGAGAGCAAACAAGGCAATTGGTCCTATTTGCACATTGGCTACCATACCCACATATTGTGGTCATGGCGGA